TTATGCAGCCACAGCCCTGTTTGCTCCACTCTTGAATGTGCTCTGAGGGGTAAATGTGGGCTGTAGCTAGAAGCAGCCTTCCTAAATGATGGTGAGTCAACTAGAAGGCTGTGGGTTTCTTGGCTCTGCGGTATGGCTCTGCAGGTCCCTGTCATCCAGGGGACATGGTGCTCTCTGATGTGCTGTGTGGTATCTGACAACTGGCACGCTTTTGTGGTCAAAATCTCTTCTGGTCAACCTAGACCTTAGCGCTCTGAGCCAGAATTTTCCCTGGTCAAATACCACTTGGGGATAGGCCTTCTGCCTGGGGATGCTGCTGCCCCGGTTAAGGCCAAAGGAAGCTTTTGGAGCTGTGGCTCTGCTTTCTGATATCTTTGTGTGATGGCAATTAGGGGGTACCACTTCCTCAAGGTGGAGTGGCACTTGGAAAATTGGTTTCTGCTCCCCTAAAACTACAGTTCCTAGTACTTAATCTCAGAATTTCTAGATGCTGCCGGATATGAGGTGTTTGGGAGTGATTTCCTATAGAGCTACACAGTGTTCCTATAAAGCTACATGGTGCTCAAGCCCTTGGAGGAGCGAGGTCAGGCATCGCTGCTGTTGTAGGCATGTGCTTGGGTCCCTAATGAGGGCCCTTTGTGGGGAGGCTGTGCCTTGCTCACCAATGCAAGAAGCACAAGGAGCTGAGTGAGCTTGGCTGATTTCCACTGCCTCCAGTGGAGTCCTGCTGTCTTGCCTCACTGAGGGCCTGGCTCATCTTTGAGCATAAACCCCTGCTGTTCAGCTAGCTCTGTTTCTTGGGGACCATCTGTGCCAAACTGCCTGCAGTTAATTACATCAGTGTATTCACCTACCTGGCTTGGGTGCAAAACTGTTTTAAAAATCAAATACAGGGACAAACTTGAGGTGCTTTGTCTGTCTATGAATGAGCTTATCTTCCTCTCTTGTGGGCTCTGGAGAGATGAGTTGGGTAGCGAATATCCTCCTACCTTGACTTTGTGGTGAGACTGGCTCTACCTGCCCTTCCTGGCCAGAGAAATCCTATAAAGGGATATAGGATATGGGGACAGGACCCTGCAGAGGATGAGGCTTACTTTTTTGGGAGACTTAAGTACATATTTTGTTCCTATGCCCAGAACACATATGTCTCTCCAGCAAGCTAAGCACTGCATCTTTCCCCTGATTTTAGGGTCCAAAGGGGTATAATCTAGTTCAATTTGCCTACTTGGGCCACTGCATAAGCCTCCCAATGCATTTTGAAGAGAACTAAAAAACAGTAGTATATGCATTGATGTTTCTGATGTGCCTATCCTATTTCTTGTGTACCCCTTACCCTCCAAAATCCAAAACTATTGTGCAGTGGTGTGTAAGCCCTAAGGCTGGTTCCTGTTCAGTCATCCAGGCTTGCTTCAAGCTGTTGTTGCTGGGGGTGAGCTGCTTGCACTGTTCAGCTTTCATGTAGGTGGCTGGATGTGGAGGGTGCTTAGAGCTTCATAGAAGCAGAAGATGCTCTACCTGTGGTATGGTGTCAGGAACACTCAATAGCTCTGAAAATGGGCAACTTAGATCTCTCTCCAGAGCTGCTGAGTTTGAGCCATGCAGCTCTTGAATGTGAAGTGTTTCTGATTAATCAGGCTGCTCTCAACATGCAGCTGGTGAATCCTGGTTGTCAGGGCGGAGGAGTAATCCAGGGGGTGGGAAGGCAGTGTCAGATGTCTGCTGCCTAGGACAGCACAGCACCATTCCCAGTACTGTGCCCATGTGTCCCACCTCATAGAGCATTTGGCTGTGGAGAAACCCCTCAACGATGCTGAAATGTGGCTGACACTGGTCTTGGATCAGCACATTTGGAGTTCTGCTGTCATGGGGCACATCCCCACTCAACCTTGACTGTGGGCTTCGCTGCATTTCCTCTACCAACTATGTTAAACGCTGTTACAGAGCAGTGCTGGTATCAAGCTGTAGGCTTTTTGACCTTATCATCTGAGTGATGTTTTAATACCTACTTGTGTCTGGGTTTAAACAGTTCCTATTGACGGTTGCTGACCTATACTCAAGTTTGTCCTTCCAAGGAAACTGTAGCTTAGCCGATTTCAGTGAGAAGAGCTCTCCTAGTCCTCTTCTCCCTTCTTTCCTATTTCCCCTGCTTCCCCTGTGTCTTGTTCTCCTTGTACACAGTCATCGAAGCTCCATGTTAGACTTCAGCAGTAAAGGCAGTGGTTGCCTTTTTTTTAGAAGAGGCTTCAGAACCTGAAGCCATTTACATAGTCTTATAAAAGACCCTTCAAATTCTCCCTTATTCGTTGTCACAGTACAAGGAGCTCTCTTTTTTTTTAATGGGAAAGGTATTTTTGCTGGAAATCAAGTCTCTGACTGGGATTGCTATTTGGACCCTGACTGTACGGATTAAGACCTGCCTCATTAAATCTCTGCAACCCCATTAAAAATTTAAATGAGGTTGCAGGGGTGTAAATAAGACAAGCACTTAGCCCAGCATGGTTAACCAGCCTGATACTATAATTCCTCACCAGCTCTTTGGATATCAGCTAAATTGGCAAGGAATAGAAGATTTGAAACAAAGCACATGCGAAATGAATTAATTATTCAACGCTCTTGGTACACACTCTTGTCTTGCTTCCAGTTTGCTGCTGCTACTTAAAGGGGAAGTGCTGTCCCTCTGCTGCAAGTCGACCTCCACGTTCTTCATGGTAGATGGTATTTCATCCCTGAGCTAAACCCACATGGTGTCTCAAGTGGCTGAACACACCAAGTGATGCTCTCAAATACGGTATCTGCTGTGCTTTATGGTCTCCAGCAGCAATTTGTGCAAGAACCTCTAGGGATGGTTTAAAGCATCCTTGCATTGTCTTTCTCAGATGCCTGGAAAGTGGCAGGTGCCTGCCCGGCTGCTCTTGGGGTGGAGGTGAGCTGCAGTGCTGTTTTATTCTTGGTTTTTGGGAGGGGAATGAAACTTCTTGAAGTTGCCTTGTTCTTTGCAGTATTCTGGCACTGTTCTACCTCCAGCAGGTAATGACATTTCTTAGTCTGACTTGCTCTGGTTTCTGGGCTGGCCAGGCTGTGTGATTTCTTTTTTTTTTTAATTGTATCTGGCTGCTCATTTGTCCAAAAAATTCAGAGTTCACTTAAATATTACTTAAGCACAGGAAAGCTACTACATTTATCTTCAAGCTTAAACAGAAACATGTGAAGAACAACAGAAGCCCCCTACAGTTGCTATTGGAAGGCAATTGGACCGTGTGGGTGAAAGTTTTTAATGAGTTCTTGTTTGTTTTGATTTGGGAATTAAGCTGTTCACCCGTGCGGCTCCAGGGAGCTGGATTCAGATAAGCAGTGG